CAAGAATCTGAAGTATTTCCATTTATTTTTCTGCTGTTCTACGATCTCACTTCATAATCTTCTACACAATTGAATAGAAAATGAAGAACCAGAAGAAGTAGAGGCATTATACTTTGCCTTTTAAAAAATGTTTATGCTATTTTGCTTTATATTCTTATTAGGCAACTTAGGGAACATGGTCTAGGTGAAAAAGTAGGTGGATGCTGAAATAGTTGGGAAAAAAGTCCTGCAGTTGCTCTAGGAGAGCAATTCGAATGAAGTGTCACAGTGGTCTGCTTTGGGTCTGTTTTCAGTCAACTTTTTATTGTGGAAGCATTGTTTTTAGCATGCTAGCATTCTGGCATTGTTTTTAACACACTAGAAGAGTGTTCATAGTTGATTAAAAAAGACAAATGAGAATTACTAAAGGTAAGCAGAAATATAACACTATATAACCCAGGACTTGGCTAGTACCAGTTCTGCTGAAGATTTAGGGGTTGTTGTGGGACATGAGAGGAATGAACCAATCACCTGTTGATTTGTTTAAAATGTACCTACCCTCATACACACACATAAAGGAGATATCTCTATGTATAGATGGATGTCTGTATAGCTATCTAACACCAGGTGTAATGGAATGATATGATAGGTAACTATTAATTTCTGCTTAGGACTTGTGAAGTCTTAGCCTGAGAGCTCTGCCCAGTTCTTGGCAATGCAATACAGTAAGGTTGGAGAGAGGCCAGAGGACAACAAGAGGAATAAAAGGTTTAGACATCAGGGCCTGTGAGGAAAGATTAGAGTAACTTGGTTTTTTTTTTCAGACTACGGGAAAAAGATGAAGGGCACACACTTTCTGGTGTGAACATGTGTTTTATACTGAGCACAGTTGCTGCCTGTTTTTCATGTCTATTGAACACATAAGAAATAGTGAACTTTTTAAAAATGTGTTGTGTTGTTTCCTTTTAGCATTACTATGCAGGCTTTATTTGTGTGACAGTAATTTTGCATACCACCCTCATACCATCGTATTTACTGGTTGCTGTGCTACCAGATTGTCTATACCTCTTTTTCTAAGTACCAAAGAAGAAGTGTGAATATGTAAGTAACATTTGTCAGGCATTTTATTGTGATATACATCTTAGAAAAAGTGTGTGGATGCAAGGATTTATCTTTTCTTATAACTTCTTTAAATGCAAAACAAAGTAGATTTATCCATCTTATTTGAAAACAAAAGGATACAAAGACTTAAAATACTAATATATTGCATAATTATTTTAAAGGAGCAGCTGCTCTCATTATACTTTTAGGTTGGCTTTGGCAGTGTTCCAGTTGATGTTTTCTGCTGAAATGTTACTCTGATCAGGCTGATTCTGTCTTTTGTGTTGTTACAGGTTTTATTTGTGCTTACTTCTTGCTACAACTCTTTAATATTGGCAGAAATAATCATCCATTCTTCTGTGCAAGTCTAATACTGCTTTAACATGTTTCCTTCATGTGCAATTCTGTGACACACTGCACTGTGTTGTCTGGAAGCTCTTAGCTCTTCCTTTTTTTTTCACCACAAACTAGATATTCCAGAATAAGTACCAGTATGATTTTGCAAAAATTTATAGGTCCAGGAGTTTGTTATTTGGATGCTTTATGTTTGCTCCACTATGCACTGAACAGGAAGTGAAGCGGCCTGATGTTTGCAAAGCATGGCAAACACAGTAAGGTATCACTAACAGGTTGAAACTGGTACGGATAGAGTGAGTGGCCACCCATTGACCTGTCCATGTGGATAGTTTCCAAGCCTGCCAGAGAAGGAAATCATAGGTTTGGTAGATGAATGTGAGAGAAAATGGGATTTCTGGGCTAACTAGAGGTTCACTTGCAAAAGATGGTGATGTTATCAAGAAAGTGATGCATGCAAGAGAGAATGAGAAGACAGAATTCACCTCTGATATAAGTCCTGATACTTAGGCAGGTTTAATTATTTCAAACTTTCTGTGCCACCTTGGGATTTTCTAGTAACTGTACTGCAGCTTTCTGTTCTGTCTCCATTTCTTGTAACTGTACTTTTTTCCAGGATTTTGGTTTTGTTTTAAGTAATGTGTTACTTTCAATATTGTAGTCAGGGTTGTGAAACTAGATGCTGGGAGCCTGTAAGAATTTGGTTCCCTGCCTGTTGAGGATACAGTTGGAAAAGTCAGCTAGAAGTGTGTGTTTGCTCAGTTTTGGTGCTCAGTTCTTTCCTGCTGTACTTCTGTATGTAGTGAATGGGGTGAGAGGCAGTTCTTCAACTGACTTAGGTTGTATCACTGGTGTGTTCTCTACTATGGTAGAAGGAAGGACAGCTTTGCAGTGATATGCTGACAGTGACAACGCTAATACAAAGGTGACAGTTTGTCATCTTGGGTTTCATAAGGAATACTGTGAAACCAACACCTTCATAAGAGATGGATATTTACCTGGAACTGTGCGTTCTCTCTTGTGCTCTCCTTGTAAATAGGGTGAGCAAGTAGTTAAGTGTCACAGTTTTTAGAAGACACTTCACGTGATAGTACCTCATCTGATAACTACTTCCTCTTTGTTTTCCAAATGTCTGTGCATGCATTGTTTATCTACAAAACTAGTAAAACAAGTCATGTAGAGTGCAAGTTATTTCTGACCTGTTGTTGATTGTTAAAGTCATGTGAAACTTTCTTTAAGTTATTGGAATTGTTCCGTGAGACTGATGGTAACAAACATAGGCTATAAATGTTGTTAGCCTGCTGGGCAGGATACAATAGAATCTTTGTTCTTACAAAGTACTTAATTGTAAACTGGGTCGTGAAACTATTGCCTTCTGATTTGAGAAAAGGTGGGAAAATACCAGCTTTTTTTTTTAAGAACCTTTAACTGGCTTGTGGACAGTGTTGATTTTTCACTTATTTATATTTTTCAAATACAGTTTAAAATAAAGTAAATATTGTCTGTGCAGTCAAAATAATCTGTTCTTTGGGGTTACTAAGCGAGTTGGAAATATTTATTTCCTTCACACTATACATCTTCTAGGAAAGATGGCTAAATCCAGGAGCTGGTTATTGCAGCAGAACATTGTGAAAGAATGAGAAATTGGATTTCACTTGTATTTGAAAAATGTTTCAGCAAGTGTTGTGACCCCAAGGCTCTTTTTCTGCTATTATGCTAGTCTTTGCTATGCAGCTGATTCTGGACACTGGAAAAACATGTTTTCCACAAATATACCTTTACCCCTGTCAACTAATTTGTCCTTAAGGCTTAGTTAAGTATGATGTCCTCTACTCTTTGGGTACTTCAGTTCCACATGCCGAGTAGAGCTACAGCAGTCAGGTATCCCAGACTTGCTGTGTCAGGAGGATATTTGTAGTTGTTTAACCATTACCTTCAGATCCCCCTTGACACAGGACAAGCCACAAGATAATGTATTGATAAAATATTTACCATATTGATAGAATGCAGGATGTATGTTCTTTATTAATAACACTGTTAACTTTAGCAGTGGTTCTAAGGACCTGTTGGTGGTTGTCGTTGCCCCCTGTCACTCCCAATTACATGTGTTGATGACCCTGGGAATAAACTAGAAGAGTTCTGTCCAGAGAGCAGAGGGAACCTGTTAATGACTGTCTCCATGCTTAACTAGCCATGAACATAAATGTTAACTTGCTCTAATGCAAATACTCCCTTCTGTCACAGCAGGACTCTGTCTGCAGCATAGAAGGAAGTTACCAGCTTTTTCACATCAAACTATGTTGTCAATTATAAATGAGAATAATGCATGGGACTTAGGTCTAGTCAAAGCCTGGTAATCAGCTGCATTAGGCTGATAAAGATGGAGAGAAAATTTACCCGTGGTCAGTTTTTGAGGAAACCCATAACAAAACAGTAATGGGAGGTTTGGGTGTTCAGAGGACTGAGATACTAATTTCAATTTTAGTCATGTTGAGATGCATCCTCAGGGAAGGAGGCTACACAGTAGCTGAAATGTCACAGATAAAGCTTTCTACAAGTAAATTAGTACTTTCAAATTTTTTGTTTGTTTTTTTTCCCAAAAGATGTGTTTGACTGTTGTGTGCTTACTAACCTGTTTGTAACTATTGTTTGTAAAGATGTGGGTTGGGGGAGGAGGATTAAAAATATGGAGAGAAGAGCAGTATTTAAACTGAAGTGTAAGATTGACACAAAGAAGAAATAGATATGAATGGCTTATGACTAAAATGGGAGGAATCAGAACTGTACTTTACCTCAGGAAGTGGCTTCCAGTACATGTTCAGCTGCTGCCCTGAGTTCCTTATGGTTATGACCAGCTGTCCTCTTTGACTTGCTTCCTATTAGCTGCACTAAAGGAATAAATCATTGTCTTGATAAAGGAAGTGCAGTACTTCTATCAAGTGCTAATGCTTCAGATTAGTTGCTGCATAATAATTAACAGTAAAGATGAAAATTCTCAGGCATCAGTGACTTGAAAGTGCAGCATCAAGTTTCTTGTCATCCTTGACTGACTCGGTTCACTGTGGACTCCCAAGGTTAAAAGTACAGAAGGGGCAACAAACTAAAACATGTGGGAGCAGGCCCAGATGGGCACGTTGCTGGAAGGTGCAGTGGCCTTCTATACAGGCTTGCATCGTTATTTTCAACAGCATGAGAGAAAAAGTTGTGCTTGTGCACCGAGTGTGGACAAAGATTAGATATTTTTACCGAATGTTGTCCTATTGGACAACCTACCTGTAAGGATGCTCCTTAACAGCTGTTGTGGATCAAGACCCCTGTTGGTGGCTTTTTGTCTCTCACTTGTGTGTTAATTATTCAGCAGATCAAAATCAATCAGGCTTTTCTCAGACTTTTCTGTGGACTGTAAATCTTGTCCAGCTGATCTTGTCCTTTAACTGGAAGACTGCTGTCTTTGGCAATGACATAAATTTAGGTATTAAACACTTTTGTCATAGACTGTTATGCAGTTGCATCACAATCCAGATTGTCTTGGTTATTCTTTACCCCATGTTGCCTGAGGCTGTGACCTCAAAAGCTCAACAAGTCATGCTTGGCTAGGATGAGAGAGTCAAACAAAATCAGTGCTACAGGAAATATTAGTGATTCAGTAAGTGAGGCAACACCCCTGAGTTAATGTTTTTCCAGTGCCCCAGCCTGGTAAAAGATGCTGCTGCTTGTATGATGAGATGTAAAACTGAGATCCTTGGTTAAAGTTTCAGTGCAATTCCTGGTAAAAACAGACATGTTAATTCAGAGGTCTTGCCCAAGTTCAGATTTTCATGGCTGTGTCCTCTACACATTTCTAATGTCTGTTTTACTAGTCATATTATCCTCTTGCTCCTACCCTAAACTGTTCTTAGGGTTGTTGGGAAAGTTTGCATTCCAGACGTGCTGACATGTTTGCAATTGGCAACAGAACAATTTCCGGAAAAAATGATCCATTTTGAGATCTTTTGAAATCAAGGGAATTATATTCCTGTAAGAAATATCAGGTCAAAGCTGAAAAGCTTCCAGGATTTTTTTTTCTTTCTTTTAATGTGTGCAGAATAACTTTTTGACTTGAATACATGTATTTGCTGCATGGTTGAGTGTACTCACACTTATATATTTTTATTTTCCATAGGATTCAAGTGCCCTGTATGTTCAAAATTTGTATCTTCTGACGAAATGGATTTACATCTTGTGATGTGTTTGACAAAACCAAGGATAACCTACAATGGTAAGAAAGAAGTAAGCTGATAATTATTTATTCATTTTAAACATTACTGTGATAATAATTCTTTGCATAATAAAGATACTCTGGTAACTAGTTAGTGAACTCAGAAATTAGGTATGTTTTTTTACTTGTAGTTTTTTCAAATTAATGCTTAAGAACTCGGTCTTTTTATACTGCGTGCCAATATAATTTGCACTGTGTTCTGAAAATATAAAATTATTCTCATTTGATTGTATGCATTCCATTTTCTGACCATTGGTCAGTGTGCATTTAGTGTCCACTTGAGATGTGTGTAGCTTACATGTCCTCTCGTGATTACCTCAAGTAGTGAGGTGGGTCAGTCAACTTTCCTGGGGACTTTATTAAGGACTGTTACTTGACACACTGTGCATTTGCACATTATTCAAGAAAATGACCCTTTCTTGAAGGAACTAAAGAATTTCCTCCTTCTTCAGCTGATTGCATATGTGATAGTTCATAAGGACTGGTAGATACATGTGTTTTTGTTATTTTGATCAAACTGGCCAATATCAAATGAACCACCTGTAGTAGCCGTTTTTCCTCTACTACTAAGCTCTCCTTCTAGGCAACTTTTGATGCAAGGCAAACAGGACTTCTGCCACTGAGATCAAACCTTTCTATCACTGTAGCTTAGGCTGACACTCAGATCTATGGTGAGCACACAAAAAGGCTTCAGGAAACTAGGACTTCAAAATTTTACTGAAATCCTAGCGCCTGCTTTGGCAGAGCTGCCCTACTACCAGAAAATCTTACGGTGTCTCTTCAATGAGATTATTGCTCACCAGTCATCAGATGTGAGAACAGAATGCAATTAGAAAGGAGTTGTAGAAGAGAGGGAGCTGGAGGTTTTTTTGGAGGTGCTGATGCTTGCAAGTTATATCAGGGAAAAATCCTATTCAATGTAAAATAGAAACGTCACATAATGAGGGTGGTCAAACATAGCAGCAGATGCTCGAAGAGGCTGTGCAACCTCCATCCTTGGAGATGATCAGAAATTAACTGAGCAAGACCCTAAGCAATTTAGTCTAACTTGGTCGTGCTTTGAGTGAGGGGCTGGACCAGAAGACCTCCAGAGGTCACTTCCAACATAAGTTATTTATTGCATAAGTAACCTGCAGTATTATGGCTCTTTGACCCTCCAGGCACCTTGCTGTTATGGTACTCTATACTGGACTTCTTTATTGAAACAAGTCTTGAAGAATGGTTGGGCCCACCTTATTCTTTATCCAGACAGCAATAATTGCAAAAATAATTTGAAATCCTATGCTTAGAGTTGTGAAATCCATTTCACAGCACAGCACTTGAGAAAAGTAAATATTTCTTTTTTCTTCCTGTTGTTACCACATGTATATTTGAGAAGGTTGACTTCATCTAACAGCGAGGGCTTTTTTTTCTCTTTGTTTTTCCTTTTTAAATTTTGGACTGAGTGTTATTCCAGATAAGTTGTGTACTGGGGGATGTTGGACGTTGGAGAGAAGAGAAGCAGGTTAGTCACCCCAGTCAAGGTGGATAATGCTCTTGGAATCAGTTAGGGTGGAGTAGGAGGAGGCAGACTGGCAGAGAACAAGCACTGGCAGTAATCCAGCTGATGGAATGTGCACAAATTATGAGTTGACTGACTGAAATCCTCTACCCCTGCTGCTTTCTACATGTACATATGAGTGCACTCAACTGACTGACTTTTGTTGAAAGATACAGCAGTTACGTAAGGTACTCTTTCAGTGTGGTTTATGGTGTGTGTTTGTATCACAGCAGTGCCGTGTGTTCAGGCTCTTTTTTTCGTTCCTGAACTGTTGCTCTCAACTGGCACGCTACTGGTTGGAGCTCCTTTGGGCCACCTTGTTAACTTTGTGCAGTTACTACCAGCAACATATCATTTCTCAATTTAGGAGTGTGTCTGCTGTACAGTGAGCCTCAGAAACTCATTCTAGGAAATGGTTATATAAACTTGGAAGAGGAAAACTGCTAAATTAGGTAGGCAGGTTTGAGAGAGACACTTACTTAGAAGTATGGTCTCATTCTTATAAACACTTAATAGAAGTGTGCATTGATCCTTGTGACTCCAGTTAGTTAGCTCCTGGACTCATGGACTAAATCTTAAATTATAGCCTATAGCTGGCTATTTGGATTACTGCAACACAAAGAAAACGAGAGTATGGCTTCAGAGTTGTGCAGTGCTCAGTTGCTACTTTGTGGTATGGTTGTGGTCCCTTTAATCAGGATAGTAAAAGCAAATTAACTAGCAGATTGGTAACGTAACGCTGCCGTGATTTCAGGACCAGAACTGCATACATGCTTTTTCTGCTTGTCTATTTTGCTGTTTGCCATGGTGAGATTAGTGATGAATCTGCCTTTTTGTCATAGGCCATAAGGAGGGCATCTCAAGTTTTGCTTGAGAGAAGAAAAGATGCTGCTCAACTTTTGATACCCTCTTCCAAAATGGAAGGCATTTCTTTAAACTTTACTTTCTCATTGTTTTCTTGGCCTTGTGCCATACATACTCAACTAGAGCCAACTAGGCACCATTTGATTGTGTTGGTCACTGATCATTCCCAGTCCTGTTACCACTAGCAGGAAAAATATCTTTTTTTTTTCTTTCCTTTTTTCCACCTCACCTTCTTTTGTCTCTGAGTTTTGTGTTGCACATTGAAGGAAGCCTTAGACTCTGCAGAGTCTATTTAGAAACTGAGCAGTTGGATCGAACTGTACTTATGTCTAGTTCTGTTCTAGATGTGTTTCCATATGATACTGTAAATGTAATAGTTGTTCTTTCTAAGAAACACCAGGGAGCAAATTCTATGCATTTTGTCATTCTGAGAAGACAAACTTCCTTCTTTTTAAATATGAGTCTGAGGCATACAGTCTCCCTCAGAAAAATGTTGTAAGACTGTTTAGTTGTGATTTGAAGTTTAAAAAAATTAATGAGTCCTCCCAGCCAATCTCTAATTGCTTTCTGAGCTACCTTTGTGCACTGCATTTGGCAGTTGAAAGGGTCAGTGAACTGCAAACTCGGGCAGCTGTCTGATTTACATGTGTTTTCTGAAAGAGAGTGGTCACAAAATTGTCCCAGTTCTATGCTGCAAGTTACACTGATTTTCATATAAATAAATCGGTACATTTTATTAGCTTTATTCTTTCAAAATCACATGACTTGCCTGCAACAGAGATCTCATTGCTGATTCAATTTGGCCTGTAAAAAGAGCTCTTTCTTTTTTCTGTAGAACTTTGTTCCACATCTCTTTAAACTACTTGTGGTGCTCACAGATGAACCAATATCTAGGAATTTTTATACAAAAGCTGGTTAAATCAACGGTATTGTGCAAAAAACATTGTTCTGTTTGGTGATACTGTCTTAAAGAGTCCTCCTTTTCTTAACAGTTAGAAAATACTGTTACTTACTGAGTTGCTGGGAAGCTAGAGTAGGTCCTATGCACTGGTTAACCACTTTTATGAAGAAAGTGGGTTACTTGCTAGTTGACAGGGGTTTTAAAAAACACTGCTAAAATATTCTGTAACCATACCTATTTCTTTGAGCTTCTCCGAAGCGTTAAACGAGGCCCCTTGCACCACCTTGTTCAAATTTGCCATGGTGAGTTACTCAGGGAGCCCACTTCAGGACTACTCTGCAGAAGGTGTTGCTTACATGTTTTGGTTGGGCTGGAGCATTTATGTGAATTTACTCAGTGCTTTGGAAGCAACATGCCTTTGATTCCTTGCTGATGATTAGAGCTATCTGGTGAAGTTTAGGTTTTGGATATAATTGTTGTGCATTTTGTGTTGTTACAGTATTGATTCTTTTTTCACTGGAAAGTGTTCTATAAAAAATTGAGAAGACGCCTGAGAGACTTGTGACTTTAGAGGCATCATTTTTAGATGCTTTGCAACAAATGAACCCAATTCCTTCTGAAGAAACCTTGCAGTTCGTTCTGAAATAATTCTGATTTTCATTTTAAAATTCCTTTGTTTGTTTCACAGAACACTTTGCAAGGCAATATTATTTTTGTTATTATTAAAGGGCCCCTCTGAGAGCAGGGACTAGCAGCCTGGCACCTGGCCAGATGGGGAAGCCAGTGACCCCAGAGAGCTGGGGAGAGCCAGTCAGCTCACTAGACTGGTTGGCTGGCTTGGCAAGCCGGCCTGTCCTCTTTCAAAAGTTTTGATTGAATTAGCACATTCCTGTGGAATATTTTGGGTTTCATCAAGTCAGCACTTTCTGTTGGAATGGTGTTCTACTGGAAACTTTCTAAGCCGATCTCCTCAAAGCCGCTTGCTCAGGGGTGGTGCTGCTTTGACATCAGTGTTGCTTTCACTCAGACTGTTCTGCATTTAATTCACATGTGGCAGTGGGTCTGACTGTTGGCCAACATATTTACTGAGGTTCATTTTGAGGGGAAAAGCTTTTACTAGTGTAATTCAAAGAGGAAGAATGTTGAGACACCCAGTGCATGAACTGCTGGAGATTTTTTCCTTACTTGAAGTAAGGACTTTGTAATTTTTCTTTTTAAATTCCAACAAGTGAATTCTTTTAGACCTATCATACTAAAAATGAGCAGGAGATCAGACATCACAGATAGCAGGGATTACAGATATAATTTTATATTAGGAGTTTATCCAATTTCTTTGAAATCAAGAATTAGTATGTGGAAAACTGTTACAGACAGAATATTGCCTGTATTCTGTCTGTAGGTGTACCTACAGACAGATAGGTGTACCAGAAGGAAAAACATGAGCAGAACTCTGGGTGCTCTTCCTATCTGGCCATGTACTTTGCTTTCTGGGGTGTTTGATCTAATACCATGCACAACTATCCAAGAATTCCCATGCCATCTAAGTGAATTCAAATTGACCTGGGCCACAGCACTGCAACTCATTCAGATTAGCAAGGATGCAAAGGGTTTTGTCATGATTTAAATACACTGTTTATTCTAAACCAGTTTGAGGTATTGGGTTGTATCTTGTGAGGAAAGCATTTCTTGCTGGGACTGCCACATGCCGAGGCCTGTCTGTGAGCAAGTGTCAGAATCTTGAGCTGGAATCTGTGTAAGCAGTAATCCTGGTAGAGAAGTTGTCAACATCGAAATGGCAGCCATAACATTTGCATTTTGATCAAAAGTAGAGACTTAAAGACTGGCATGAGTCACTTGAGGGACTAAATAAAAGTATTTTGGAAATGTTCTTTGTGAATGGGACTGACCTAATTTATTTCTAACACAAGTTATAAGCTTTATTGATTGCTGTCTGTTTCAGCATCTTTGGGGCAAGATATTTATGCCAGAACTTGATGAGTTTATATTGCTCAGTAGAACAAAATTAAAATATTGCACCTTAATCTGATGTTTGAACCACCAAAATACATTATTCTGGTAGTCCTGCCCAGTGACTGCAGTGACTTGATTTCCTAGGTCACTTCTGTGCACCCAAGAGTATTTTACTCTGCAGGGATGATGCTCTCAACTGTTTTGATTAATGCACTCAAAACTTCAGTCTGGAATGAAGGGAATTACTAACCTCAAATTCACTTCTCTTCCAGGGTTCCTGAGATCATACCCTGAAAGACCTTGCAAAAGGGCAAGGTCTGGAAAAGCTTAAGCCTTCCTCTTTGTCTTCATCCTTTAATAGGACTAGACTTTCAGCAGAGCAGTACAAAATAATACTAAGGCAGACCAGTTCTTTCCACTTTATCCAAGGTGTAAAATTCTCCATAGAATTTCTCAACTCTTCCATTTTTAAAGTTTAACAAGATTCTTCAGAAGTTTCTAGCTTCTTGCTCTGCCTTATGTAGTTCTGTGCTCTGTCCTCAGGGATGCAGGGGAAGAACCTTTAAAAGATAGTTTAACAGAACACGTAAAAAAAAAACCTTATCCTGTGCTTGCAATTAAAATAGTGATATTTACTCTTTGTTTTGATCTTATGTACTCCTGAACATCCTCCAGAGTATGTAGGAGGTTCATTCAGTGTCCCTAATGCTTTAAAACTGTTTTCTTCAGTAGTTCTTGAAATTATGTAGGGCTGTTTTAACTTTGAGATTTTGTTTAATGTGGTGACAGTAGAACATTACTATAACAAATAAAATTTTCATCTCAGACATTTGCACAGCTGTTCTTTTGTGAACGGATATAATATCAGCCCAAACTTTCATAGCTTGTCATGTACATCATTGTTATATTTAAGGAGGGAATTGTCATTTTAAGGAGGAAAATTGTGTTTGAAGACCTTGATTAAAATATATTGACTGGTTTATACTTTATCCCTTTGGGAATTGTTGGTAATGTTTGAACAAAGAGGAAACTTTCACTTGTGTTCACCAGTGTATGCCATGGATAGCTACTTGTCCAAACCAGACTGCCAAGAGGAGCAATGTCAAACTGTAGATCTTCCTCCCTTTGTTCAGTAAAGCTGTATTTTTGTCCCACCATCCCACACATCTCTCCTTCAACAGTTTGTGGTGCCTCTCAAAAGAGCATCACTGCAAAAGCAGCCTGTTATGGTTCAGCTTTTTGTGAAGGGAGGTTGTTCATTTGAAAGAGTAATGCTGACAGATGTCACTAAAAACCACACTCCATTTCAATTTGTGCCTGCCTCCTAAAAGGGGTAGGACCTGCTTCAGTGACCCCATTTCAGCCTCAGTCACTGGATGAATTGGGTCAGTCTGTGGTAGTGTGGAGCTGCAGCACTTTTAGAGGCCATAGTCTCGTCTCTTTCCTCCACACTCTTTTCTATGGAGTCAGGAAAGTAAGCTGTGTGTTTGTAATGGTGTGGCTGTGAAGAAAGCTCATGAAACGGGAACACAGTGTAACTGAGAGGGAAGTGCTTTGACTGTCTGGAGCAGCAGTTCCCAGAACTGCAAATTGCCCCATTTATCATGATAAAATAAAATCTCAGAGGTTTAGTGGGGGTGGTTGAGGTATCAATATTGTTTATTATTTTAATTTTCACACAAGAGAAAGGGAGGTATAGATTTGTAAAGAAGGTATGACAGCTCACTTTCATGGTTCAGGTTGGAGATGCTACATAGGTTATGCTGCATTTTCTCTCTGTAATGAAGTAAAGTTGACATGCTTGTATCCTGCTGAGAAGGACACACTGCAGAGATCACACCTATTAATATCTTAAAATTTTCTCTGATTTGCTGTGCGTGTGACTTACTCTTTAATGAACCTTTGAAGAGAAGGATATTTGGTTGGGTGATTCTCTGCATACTTTCCCTTGAGCCAGGCCTAAATCTGCTAGACTGAACTTCCTGTGACAAAACCATGGCCAAAATAGCGGCAATGTCACCTCATTCTGGAGAGTGGGACAATAATTTTTTTTCTCAGTACACTGGAATCGCCTTTATATAAATACATACCTGTGTCACGGGCATATTTTATATGCAGCACTGGATAAATACAGTAAAGCTTTTGACAGCTATAGAACAACCCTGCTTGTTTCTGAAATAAATAAAGTGGCATCATTCATGTGCTGAATAGCTCAAGTTGTTTCTTTTGCTTATAAGCTACTCCTTAACCTCAGATATTGCCGTTGTCTTTCCGCTGTGCTGACAGTGCTGCTCAAGTCAAATGACAATTCTTGTCCTAGAAAATTACAGCCACACCTGTGAACCAGTGCCACAAAGAACACCTGCGGGTGACACGGGGAGCGATTGAGATCGGGGGAGCCGATCCTCTGCGCTGTGTCACCGTGTTTCTCTTACATAATGCCTGCGCAGTGCTGCCTGCAGCAGAGAGCCGAGGGACGGTCCTGCTGTGCCGTGACTCCGCATCATGTGATGCGGGCAGACAGGAGCTACCTTCCATGCCTTACACTTAATCAGTCTTTAGCTCTGAGAGGTCATTCAGAGGATGTCATAAATCGTGTCTGCAACTGCTGCAGTCTTGTGACTGCTGGGAACTTAGCTCCAAGGGAAATAACGTTCCTAGTTTCGTATGGTAATTCTGCAGTCTTTAAAGCTGATACCTCTAAAACCTTAAGATTTTGCTCATTTGCTAGCAACAACCTGCCTTCTTTTTCTTTTTTCTTTTTCTTTTTTTTTTTTTTTTAAAGTTACTCTGTGGAGACAAAACCTTGAAAATACCCCTTTTCTAATCTTAGAGAATGGATTTCATTGGCTGGATTTTTAAATCAAAGTACTTGAATTCATTATGTTTTAAAACATTATTGCCAAACTATATCTCATTGAGACTGAGTGATCTGTGCAGGAATTTCACGGTGTTTTCTTCCCTAAATTCCTCACTGCTTTACAGGGACTAGTACAGATTGTTTGCAGACCAGGATTTTTTTTTTCCCTAAAGAAATACAAAAGAATAAGGGGCACTCTTCTTGCTCAGAAACTACCCCGAGGGCAGATCAATTTGCAAGTATTGCCTGAAATGTCATTTGTAGTTTATTTTTTTCTTCATATTAAAATCTGACTTTAAAACCAGCTACCTTTAGATTATTTAAATAGTCTGTGCTTCTGAGTTGCAGACTCAACCCTTGAATGTAGAAAAGAAGTCCATCCAGCTTTTGCAGGGAATTTCAGTGATAAAACAAGCCTAGCTTCAGAAACAACCTGGGTGAAAACATTGCTACTGTGGTGGAGTACTCTGACTTCTAAACTGGGGATTATTAGTACTGCTTACACAGGGGAAAAGATTACCCATTTCTAGTATTTTTAGCAAAATCCAGTGATTCTAGACCAGACTCTAAATTGCCTACTGACACAGGTACAAAATACTAGACTTGCCTGTTGTAGCCTCCCTGGAGGAACCTCCTTGCTCCTCGAAGTTTGCTTAACTTTGTCTCACGTGGCTACAGATTTGCTTGGCTACAGAAATAACCCCAAGTTTTAACATACAACTGAAACATAAGAACCTTTATTCTTATGTTTCAGCTGTACGTTCAGCACTAGATTTAGTGCTGAACTATGTTAACACTTAGGAAACCTTATTAAAGTTTCCTCATAAAAATATCAACTTCCATTTTAACACTGCACTAACAGCTATCTGTAATTTAAAACCATGTCAAATTTTCATCATTTTGACCATGTTCCTCGTGCCCTCCTTCCTTGTGTGGAGTTTCATTAGATAGTCTTCATGTAATGTTAGGTATTGGATAGCCTCTGTGTAGCTAAGCAATAGTGTAGTATTCTTTGATAATTTTTAGCCCATAAATAATGTTTATTTATTTGGAATCAAGAGATGGAGGGAATCAATTGTTAATCAAAGTGTTAATCAATTGTTTGATTAACACTTACCTTTTTTTTTTTTTCTCTCCCCAGTTCCAAGGAAGTCTATTTTAATCTATGGCTTTATTACCTGAAATAGTTTGTTGTTATAATGGCGTCCAATTGTTTTGCTAGCCTGTAAATTGAAAAAAAAATAGGAGAAAAATACAACTTCAATATGGTTGTGGAACTATACTGCCAGATTGTGAGCATATAACTTGGAACAAATACTGGACAATTGTCTTTGGGGACTTTTGTTTTCGTAAACACATCTCCCTTGTTAATCTTTTTGTGTTATTATTTGTGAATGATCATAGTTGCTGAATACTGTTGAAATTATATAGGTGTCTTGTATTTCAATTAATTGCTTTAAAATTTAAAGGAAAGCTTATGGGTAGTTTGTTTTTTTGGTGGGTTTTTTTCCTCCTCTTGCAATTAAAGACCCATATACTCAGCATCTTACTGGTATAGTAATAACCTGTAGGTATATGTTAGCACCAGAAATTCTGTATCTCAGTGCTTGCTGGAATAAATTATAATAGTGGATAATGGGTTAGTGTAGAGAAGAAAAATGGAGATAGCTTTGAAAACTCTGACTCATTATTTGATGTTATCAGAACCCTTTGCATTCAGACATGTTTTGCATTCCATCTATATCACAAGGATAATTGCATTTAAAATAGGAATAGCTTGGAAAAAGCAGTCTGTCTGCTGAGAACACTAAAGACAGACAAGTAAAAATTATGCAGTGATTTATATCCCTGTCCCGTGTATACATGTTAACACCAGACATTCAGTTTTAACTTGGAGAAGGCTGGTCTTGAGCCTGCTGGGAAAAGCACCCTGTAGGCCTAGCACCTGGCAGTGGGGTTAATAAGCCAGACTTTATGCACGCTGAGTTTTGGCAGCAGTGTTTTCGTTGTGTGTTACTCAGTAATACATCATATCTTCCCTAAGGATAGTGTCTTAGTCACACACAACTGTTTTTTCTCCCTTCCTCCTGTTTCGACCTTAGGCTCATAGTTTCATCTTTCATGCCATCTTCCTTAGTGGTGCTCCCTATGCGTTCATTTTGCATCAGATCAAACTAAACTCCTCTGCAAGCTTGCAAAGAAATGAGTCAGTTACTTGGCCAGTGTTAAAAGACTGGAAAAAAGATTTGGCAAAACTCATTGTGCTCAGGGCACCTGTAGGAAGCCTGGAATAGGAACCTGAAAAAGGACAAAGTGAACAAAACATGGAATCAAATCCTTCATCCAACTTCAAAACAAGTCACTGTTAAAGTAACCAATGTTGCCCAGAGTAATAGAATAGCTAACTTGATCTGAGCTGCTTCTCTTCATTCCCTCTCTACC